CTCCCTCCCTTCCTCCCTTCCTCCCTTCCTTCCTTCCTTCCTTCCTTCCTTTCTTCCTTTCTTTCTCTTACTTCCTTCCTCTTTTTTCTTTCTTTCTCTTTCTTTTTTTTTCTCTCTTCCTCCCCTCCTTCCCCCCTCCCCCACTTCTCTTTTTTTTTTGTCAGTCATTAGGCTTGAATTCTGGGCCTGGATGCTGTCCCTGAGCTCTTCAGCTCAAGGTGAGCGCTCTACCACTTGAGCTACAGTCCTACTTCTGGTTTTCTGGTGGTTTATTGGAGATAAGAGTCTCATAGACTTTACTGCCCAGGCTTGGCTTTGAACCATTATCCTCGGATCTTAGCCTCCTGGGTAGCTAGGGTTATAGATGTGAGCCACCAGCACCCACTTCTTTATTTTTTAAATTTGTCTGCCTTCATGGCTTTTCTTCCTTAGCTTCTTTTGTTGTCTTTCACATCTTTACATACAGGATTCTTTCAAGCTATGGCAGAAATTGTTTTAGTTCTCATATTGTTTATATAAGACTATACATTTGTCAGAAGTTATCAAATTATACCACATGGTTAGATACACTGGTGTAAGCCTATCATCCTAGCTACTCAAGAGGCTGATGTTGGAAGATCACCAGTTCAAGGTCAGCCTGGGCAATATACAACAAGATTGTCTCAAAAGTCCCCCAAAAGTTTAAACTTAAAATTGATGGATTTTATTGAATATAAGTTATAGTTGAGTAGCATTTATTTTAAAAGTATATGGAAATGGGATAATGACTACTGACAGGGACAGGTTTCTTTGATGAGTAATGAGAGTATTCTGGAATTAGTTGTGATGGTTGCACAATACTCAAATATTGTAAAAACTACTGAATTGTACAGATGTACCACATGTTAATTACATATGCTATGGAACTCTTATTTTGTATGTGAGTATATATGTATGTAAACAAATCAGTGATCAAATATTAGTACAATTTTAATCGAAGTAGAAATTTGGTACTTGTTAAAAAAACAACAAAGTGCTAAGCACATTATTAATTAGCACTAGATAGCCTTCTGATTTTCATATTGAATCTCCTAGATTTGTGAGTATCTCAGTTATTCATACAATTCTTTCTTGAATTTCACATAAATAGCATTAATAGAACTATCCCTAAAGATTCAAAAATGATCCTGTAACACTGTTGAAAATGAAATAAATTGAATATACATGGGGTTGTAGCCACAAAGTATCTTGGTTCAGGGCATTCCGTGATTTGGTTGGGGAGAAGGCATGGTACTTCTGTGTCTGTGCTAGTATCTTGTTAGACTTTAACTCCAAGAAGTGATGTGGCAGTTGAAGGCTAGCTATGGAATAAGCTTATTTTTTATGTATACCTTGCTTTGTCTTCTGGTTATGTGACAATGGAAAATAATGGGTTAAAAATTATTTGTGCTTCACAGGGCTACAAATATTTGTATCTGACCCCTCAAGATTACAAGAGAGTCAGTGCTCTCAATTCTGTCCACTGTGAACATGTAGAGGATGAAGGAGAATCCAGGTAGGTATCTATATGTCAGAATAATTTGGCTTTGACAAAAGAAAAGATGTGGTCATTTTCTATAATGTCCTGCTGGTTGAAAAGATTATTCGTTATTTAATCTAGGTGTCTTAGAATTTTGACTCAGCTCTACCACTTATTAGCTGAAGGACCTTGTTGTTGCTAGAAATTTTTAAATTATATTTACAATACTTAGTCATTTTAGATAAATGGAAGCATATAAACAATTATGAAGAAAAAAAATTAAGAACCACAATTCTATCCTGAAGCCACAGTTATGAATTTGTTATATTCAGTCTTTCTACATGCATACCTTTTCTTCTATGTAGTTGGGATTAAATACTTGTTTCCTTTAAATTTGTTATTTTTACTAAATTTTTTTACAGAAACTTCTTACATTCTTAAATATTATTAGAGACTTGAAAGTTTAATGGTTATATAATATCTCTTAATGAATATATAATATTTGAACATTCAGGCTATTTCTGATTTTTCATTGTTATGTCTTTGGGGTGAACATTCTCTTTTTTTTTTTTTTCCGGTCGGTCATGGGGCCTGAACTCTGGGCCTGAGTGCTGTCCCTGAGCTCTTCAGCTCAAGATAAGCACTCTACCATGTGAGCCACAGCACCACTTCTGGCTTTTTCTGCTTATGTGGTTCTGAGGAATCAAACCCAGGGCCTCATGCATGCAAGGCAAGCAGTCTACCACTGAGCCACCTAATAAACATTGTTTTTGTTTTTGTTTTTGGTCAGTCGTGGGTCTTGAACTCTGGGGCTTGGGCGCTGTCCTTGCACTCTTCAGCTCAAGGCAAGCGTTCTACCCGTTGAGCCACGGCGCCACTTCCGGTTTTCTAGTGGTTAATTGGAGAAAAGAGTCTCACAGACGGGGCTGGGAAGGTGACTCAGTGGTAGAGCGCTTGCCTTGCATGCATGAGATTCCTCAGCACCACATAAGCAAAAAGAAAAAAGCCGGAAGTGGCACTGTGGCTCAAGTGGTAGAGCGCTAACCTTGAGCTGAAGAGCTGAGGGACAGTGCCCAGGCCCAGAGTTCAGGCCCCACGACTGGAACCAAAAAAAAAAAAAGAGTCTCACAGACTTTCCTGCCCAGGCTGGCTTTGAACTGCGATCTTCAGATCTCAGGCTCCTGAGTAGCTAGGATTACTGGTGCCCAGCATAAACATTCTTTCATATAAACTTTTATAAAAATCTCTGATTATTCCCTTTAGGTCAGTTTCTGGAAGTGTAATCATAGATTTAAAAAAAATCCCATTTTTGCTGAGCCCCAGTGTCTCACCCCTATAATCCTACTCAGGAGGCTGAGATCTGAGGATCACGGTTCAAAGCCAGTATGGGCAGAAAAGTCCATAAGACTCTTATCTCCAATAAACCACCAGAAAACTGGAGTGGCACTGTGGCTCAAGTGGTAGAGCACTCCCCTTGAGCTGAAGAGCTCAGGCACAGAGCCCAGGCCCAGAGTTCAAGACCCACAACTGACCAAAAAAAAAAAAAATCCATTTTTAACGTTAAAAAATGCAAATCACTCTCAAATATAGATCATAATCTATATTTCTAATCAGTATGTAGTGGTGCTTATTTTCTCTCCTTTAATTTTTCTCTGTTCTTGCCAAGACTGGTTATTGTCAATTAATAAAGTAGGATAAAAACAGCAATTGTTATTTTAACTTGTATTTTTGATTACTGGTGAAGCTGAACATTTTTATAATCTGTCTACAAGTACTTTTTAGAATGCTAATTACTCCAATACTATTTATTGAATAATTCATATGTGCCTCTTTTTTGTTTTATCTATTCTTGGACAAATGCCACACTGTTTAAATATACTGTACGGGGAAATTTTTCTTACATGCTTTACTAGCTGTGTGTGTGTGTCTGTGTGTTTGTGTGTGTCTGGGTGTCTTGGAGCTTGGAATCAGCCTCTGGCTGCAGTCCCTGAGATTTTTTCCTCAAGTCTAGCACTCTAGCACTTGCACCACAGCTCTACTTCTGGCTTTTTGGTGGTTAATTGGAAGTAAGCGTCTTGGTGACTTTACTGCTTGGGCTGGCTTTGAACCTTGATCTTCAGATATCAGCCTCCTGAGTGTGAGCAATTGGCCCCTGGTGGGGTATTTTTAGCCTTTTTTTCAGAGCTTTTTGTTGTTTTGTTGGTTGTGGTAATGGTGGTCAAATTTCTTTGTATTATCCTAGTGTCTCTAATTTTTGCCAGCACTTAATAGCCTAAAAGATACTACCTATTGTTACTGTTAATATTAAGTAGTTAAATATAAACAGTTCCATAAATCCTTATGTCCTGGGGCTGGGAAGGTGGCTCAGTGGTAGAGCGCTTGCCTTGAGCTGAAGATCTGAGGGACAGTGCTCAGGCCCAGAGTTCAGGCCCCACGACCGGACCCCCCCCAAAAAAAATCCTTATGTCCTAAAATAATCATTTGAATAAAATGATAGACATGAGTTTAGATTGTATTTCTTTTGTGTGTGCTCATGGACATGCATGTGCTGCATGCCCACTGGCCCTTGGGCTGAGTTTTTTTTTTTTTTTTGCTCAAGGTTAGTGTTCTACCACTTAGGCCACAGCTCTACTTCCAACTTTTTGGTGATTAATTGGAGATAAGTGTTTCTCCCAGGCTTTCCTGCCTGGGCTAGATTTGAACCAGTGCCCTTGTAATATTTTTTCTTAAATAATTACAATTACTAAAGAATGAGATATTAATGTCTGTATGACACATAAAACTTGGAATCAGCTTGGACATTACTACTCTTGTTTCTTGTTCTTCGTTGATTTTTGTGTAAATTCTGCCATTTTTCCTCAGAAAGTATATCAGATCTGGCTTTGTCAAGATAGAACATTTTCAAAAGGAATATAGCATTATCCAGTGCTTTACTAGTCACTAACCTGGGGTCTAGAAGATACATGTCATAGTGTGTGTCTCAAAAGTTAAAACTGCCTTGCCATACTCCAAGGGTGTCCTGAGATGCTTGGGACCCTGTGAGTATGGGATTTTTGCCAAGCTTTTTGAGTTTATTTCTAAATAGTTTGCTTTTTAAAAAAATTGGTGTAGAAATTTCTCCCCTTTATGTATTTTTATAATTCTGAATTACTGGGAGTGGGAGGTATTTCCAAATATAATTTTGTATATTGCTTTTGTTATAAAATAAGTTCTTTTTCTTTTCTTTCTTCTCTGAACATTGACATCAAGTAGACTAGGGCCTTAGCACAAGGCTGAGCTCATAGTAATGAATCAGAATAACTTAATTGTAATAAATGATATTCAAGTTTTTTATAACATTAAAATTTAGTACTTCTTTAAAGAATTACAGATTTAACAAAAAAGAGATTTGAGTGCTTTTTCACATAGTAAGGCAGGAGAAAAGACTGCATAACAAGTCCTAACCAAATGTGATGAAATAGGCAAGCGTTCTGAGGTAAAGATCTCTTTTACAGAGAAAGCTGTTTGGGCTCAAGAGTATTTGTCATTGTATATCATGTGGGGCTTAAAAAGGAACACATTATCACCTCCCCAAATTAATGTGGATCATTAACCCTTTAAGGAAGATTAGCTTTATAACATAACCCTAGAATCTAAGGTCTACTAGAACAAAGGGAAGAATTGAGGTATTGCTACATATTGTTGGGGACTGAAAGTAGGAAGCTAGGGTAATCTGGGAAGCAGAGATGCAAAGTCACAGGCCAATAGCAAGGGCAAATAAATGACTAAAGAAGGGAGTAGAAAAAGTGGGGAATAGTTTAAGAGCTACTGTGGGATACTTACCATTTGAGTTTATAAAACTTTACCCAGTGCCATGTCTTCTGGTACACATGGAACAACAAATACTATATGTCTATCTCTGCTTCCAACTTTGTATTTTTCCATTCTTTTATTATTTGCATTGCCCATCTCCCATGTCCCATTATCAGCTATCATTCCTAATCCCCTGCCAGGAAGACAGATGAGTGACTCCTAGTAGATCCACAGAATGCTGTCTGGACAACTTGGTCAGCATTTTACTTCCACACACTTTCCACTTGGTCTTCTAGAGAACTATAACGAGGAACCCTTATGCATAAAGTTGGTATATCTTAATGGGAATACACTACTTTGACTTTCCTCTTCTTTTTTATCTTAGAAAAGGAGAGTATTTTGACTTGAGAAACTTGACTGAGCTTTTCACTACCTCAGTCTTTGGATTTTTTTAAATTTTATTTTTGGTATGGATTCTGGGATTTGAATTTAGGGCCTGGATGCTGAGCTGTTTTTGCTCAGGTTAGTGCTCTTACCACTTGAGCCACAGATTCACTTCCAGCTTTTTGGTGGTTAATTGGAGATAAGAGTTTCATGGACTTTGCTGCTCCAGCTGACTTCAAACTGCAATCTTCAGATCTCAGCCTCTTAAGTAGCTATGATTACAGGTGTGATCCACTGGTGGCTGGGCATATTTTAGGTTTAAAAAAAAATTGTCTAAGGCTGGGAAGGTGGCTTAGTGGTAGAGTACTTGCCTTGCATGCATGAATTCCTGGGTTTGATTCCTCATTACAACATACACAGAAAAAGCTGGAAGCTCAAGTGGTAGAGCACTAGCTTTGAGCAAAAGAAGCTTAGGGATGGTGCTCAGGCCCTGAGTTCAAGCCTTAGGACTGGCAAAAAAAAAAAAAAGTCTAAAATTGTCAATTTAGTGGCTATTGCTTATTGTTACATACATTGGCCCCACTTTTAAGCTGGGAAGGTGGCTCAGTGGTAGAGTGCCTGCCTTGCATGCATGAGGCCCTGGGTTCAATTCCTCAGTACCACATAAGCAGAAAAAGCTGAAAGTGGCTCTGTGACTCAAGTGGTAGAGTGCTAGCCTTGAGCTGAAGAGCTGAGAGATAACGCCCAGGCCCAGAGTACAGGCCCTATGACTGGCAAAAAAAAAAAGAGAGAGAGAGAAAGAGAAAAAAGAAACTGGCTCAAGAAAGCATGAGAAGGTATCTATGTGCCAAGCTGTCTCATTGCTTTAACTCCCATGTCAATGAAGAGGATGATACTTTTATACCCATTTTACAAAAGTTAACTGTGATTACCAGAGTCACACTACTATTAGTATCAGAGCAAGGATTTTAAACCTTCCTGCTTAATTTTAGGTTTTATTTTATCTGCTGTACTATATTGTTTCCAGGTATGATAGAAAAAAAGCTAAGAAAGAAAGACATGAATGAAGAATAAATAGGAAGAACATAAAGCCCTCATGTTGAATATAAATTTTTCAAATGAGTTCTATAGCTTTTAGTAGTGATCATTGTTGTCGTTACCATTGTTGCTGCTGCTAAGATAATAGGTTTCACTCAGGCCCTCCTGGGCATGCTTCTTGTTCAGCTGGTGCTCTACCATTTGAGCCAGCTCTGATTGTTCTTTTAATGGATTATTCTTAACTGTGTTTAACCTTTATTATTTTTCATGGCTGTTTGCAATAGATACAAGATAACAGATATTATTGGGAAAGAAGAGGGACTTGGAGCAGAGAACCTTCGAGGCTCTGGAATGATTGCTGGAGAATCCTCATTGGCTTATGATGAGATCATTACCATCAGCCTGGTAAATCTTCCTAGAATATTGTTGGATCTTCTTTCCCCTTCCCCTTCCTTTTCCCCTTGTTTCCTTCCCCTCCCTGCCTTAATTCAGGGCTGTGGATTGAACCCAGACCCTCATGTTTGCTAGGCAAGTGCTTTCTACCCTGAGCTATACCTTAGCCCCTACAATGCAAAAATTTTTAAAGAGCTATGTGACTAGGTTTGCTTCTTCCCTCATTCAATGCTATTCAGTCTCAGATGATAACATTTCTTGAAATTGTATCATTGTATATGTATAATTATGTCATTATCGGGTACAATGAGAAGATAGGTAATTCAGTAATATAAACTACTACCTTTTCCAAATAAACCTAGGTTTGTATTGGCCTTTAGTTTCACTTATTACTTAGTAATCTACCACAGACTTAACAGCTTGAATTTCTTCTCTTCATAGTATGTTCTTTGCTCTTGCCATTACTAGAGATGCTAGGCATCTGTGAAATAGACAAGTAAAGGGTTTTGATCCTTTGAGTGTCTAATACTCAGATTAAGAAATGAATAATTTTGTCTCTTCTTTGATCAGGAGATTGTATTTTTTTGTTAATAAAAACAGATGCATTTGTTTTTAAGGTTACATGTCGGGCCATTGGGATCGGGGCTTACCTTGTCCGGCTGGGACAAAGAACCATCCAGGTTGAGAATTCTCACTTAATTCTGACAGGAGCTGGTGCTCTCAACAAAGTAAGTTTCTATGATTTGAGTAAAGTGTGTATTTCAAATAAAGATTAATATATTTTCTTAATTTAAGGTCCTATCTAGAGGGAAGCCATTCAATCCATGCTTTTCTTCATCTGTCTTCTCTTGCCTATCATCTTTAGTCATTGACTTGCTTGCCTTTGTATTCATTCTGTCAGTCATTCATTTCACTTCACTTGACAAATACTGAGTACCTACTGTGTGCCAGGCACTGTTCCACATCCTGTACGTACATTAGTGCACAAACTATATAAAAATCCCTGTTCTAAAGAGCTCATATTCTCAGAAAAACTGAGACTTAACTGAATGCTTTTGTTTTACTCCACACCCTTCCTTTTTCTGACCTGTGAATAAAGAATGTAAGGAGATCTGTTCTCATGGAGCTGTCTCAGCTGTACAACCTGAATTACGCACTAGGTGTTGAGGATATGTATATTTTAATGTTTTGAGAAATCTATGAATAGACTTCTAAAAAAGGACACTTACTGGGAAAGAGTATGATATAGACATCATCCCTTCTAAAGTTTTATGCCTTTTTAATCCAAGCTATTCTAAAAGGAGAAAAAAAGATGGGTCTTCTTTTTGGGGAAGGTGGTATTGGTATTTGAACTCAGAGCCTTGCTCTTGCTATGCAGGTACTCTCCCCCAGCCCTAAAAGAGAAAAAAATGGAGAGTGAAGTCGCTGCTAATGAGTGAAATCAGACCAAGAAAACTACATATACAAAGGATAATGCAGTCCTTAGTTCTTTGGAGGCATAGGAAATTTATTTTCTTTCTAAAGCCAGAATTATATAATGGAATAATCTGGGGCTGGCTGCCATTGTGCAACTTATATCACCTTTTAGCCCCTCAGCTATCAACAGGGAATAATAATGTATACCTTCAAGTAAATTTAGGATGTTCAAATGAAACTAAGTAGCTAAAGGCATGACTCAGCAGTAAAGTGCCTGCCTAGCAAGCAAAAGGCCCTGAATTCAAAGCCCATTACTTCTAAGAGCAACAATAAAAGAAGTAAAAGTGGGCTGGGAATGTGGCCTAATGTTAGAATGCTTGCTTAGGGTACACGAAGCCCTGGGTTCGATTCTCCAGTACCACATACACAGAAAATGCCAAAAGTGCAACTGTGGCTCAAGTGGTAGAGCACTAGCCTTGAGCTGAACATTCAAGGACAGTGCCTAGGCCCAGAGTTCAAGCCCTAGATCGACAAAAAAATATAAATAAAAAATGAAAGTGCCTAGTACTTCACATTTAATAGTCCCCTCCTCCTCTCACGCATCGTTCCACAAATGAGGCTATAGAGTTATCCACATTTTAAATTGTATTGCATATTGTGTTTATGAGACTTGTCAGGAACTTTTTATCAAGCCCTGATTTTCAAGCAGAAGGACAGGAACTAACTGTCCTATCACATCATTCCTACTTAGAAGAAGTTGATAATTTTGTTAGCTCAATTAGCTTTGGGAATATCAGAAATTAGAGGAATTATTAGATGTCATGAGTTTGTTCTCTGCCTTCATAGGAACTCTGTATAATTCTCTGGATTTGTTTTTTTTTTTTCTTCAAGGGAAAACGGAGTAGTGATAACAATAACATTTGGCTGTCTTTCTCTTCCTCTTCCTCTTCTTCTTCTCCATCTTCTTCTTCTTCTTCTCCTTCTCCTCCTCCTCCTCCTCCTCCTCTTCTTCTTCTTCTTCTTTTTTAATAAGGAGAATAGCCTAGAAATAAATATTTAAAACTGCACTCCTGAACATTATTGCAGTGAGAGACACTGCTGAGAATCTTCATTATTTAAGTTGTTCTTTTGAGTAGGGTGAGATATTGATGTAATTTAGTTTTAAACATCATTGTCTATGAGGGTAGAATTTGAAAATATCTACTCCTTTATTTACATGGTATCTTTTAACATGAACACAGAGCTAATTCTAAAATGTATTTTATAAGCCAGGCGCCAGTGGTTCATGCTTGTAATCCTAGCTACTCAGGAGGTTGAGATCTGAGGATCACAGTTCAAAGCCACCCTGAGCAGGAAAAGTCTGTGAGACTTTTATCTCCAATAAACCATTCAGAAAACCAGAAGTGGTGCTGTGGCTCAAGTGGTAGAGCACTAGCCTTGAGCTGAAGAGCTGAGGGACAGTGCCCAGGCCCAGAGTTCAACCCCCATGACAAACAAAATAAATAAAAATGTATCTTGTTATATACACATATGATGCTATATTTCAAAAATCAAAGTTGAGGTTATTTGTTTGGTTAGCTTTTGGGTTTTTTGAGGGGGAAGTTTGTTACTTTAGAATTTATTTCATTTTGTTTTGCCTGAAAACTTGCCAGTTGAATTTCATTTGTGCCATGAAGAAAATGCTAAGGATTTTTTTCTTAAAATCTGGTGGAGCTCATGTTTATGGTTTGCCTGTAATGCTAGCTACCCAAGAGGCTGAGATCTGAAAAATGAGTCTTGAAGCCAGCATGGGCAGACAAATCTGAAAGACTTTTTTCTAATTAACCAGCAAAAAAAGGCTGTGACTAGAGGTGTGCCTCAGTGGTAGAGCACCAACCTGAGGAGAGCATGAGGTCCTGAGTTCAAGCCCTAGTACCAGCACAAAAATAAAATCTGGTTGAATTGGTCAAATTCAGTATATTTACCTTCCTAGCCTGTATAGCTACTAAAAGTGAAAACATAGTTACAGAGGGTAAGACAAGTAAAGCTACTATTGTAACTTATAAAACAATGCTCATTTCAAGAAGGACATAATCATTTTTAGCTAAAGAGAGCTATCATTTGTAGAGGCTACCTAATCTTGTTCTAGTTCACTATCTACACGTCAGCATCTCGTAAGAAGAGTCATGTTGCTGCAAGACTCTGGATTTCATGCAAATTCATTAAGAATGTTCTATCAGCCTCTTTGCTTATCAGGTATGAGAAAGGAAACAGAGCTACCACACTCAGAGTGCTTCCTCTGACCTTCTTCATGTGCATACTCTTGTCTTTGTGTGTCCTGATGATTTTTTAGTCTCTTGTTAGCCTTTCGTTCTCTAGATCTCTTTCTGTCTTGCTTATTCTGGGTGTGAGCAAGACACTCCAGGTGCATGTCTCTCTCTGTGTGAGCACTGATCTCTTTGTTACTGTGTCTTGCTCATGGAGCTGTGACTGTGCTCCTCCCTGAGTGCACACAGATGAGAAAGTCTTTGTGTGTTTGAAATACTGTAGAGATTCCTTTTTAAGCCTTTTCCAATTTGCTTCTAGTATGTGTGTACCTGTGTAAAGTAGAAATATAAGTGGTATATGAAAGCTTACATACAGTCTGAGACTGTAAACATTTGACCCACCCACGTTTTTGAGCCTTCATCTTTTATGTTAAACATTGGGGTGAAGAATAAGAAGGGGGTTCACAGAGGTTGCTTGGGGGAAAAAAGATCTTGTGTGTGCAAGTGCCGATCCCGTTGACCCCTTTGAAAATTGAAATAATGATAATGCGCGTCTCCTGACTGCATCAAAGTATCAGCACATCAAAAGCCAGGAGGCATGAAATGCAAATGATAAAGTGAAAGCAGATGGATTGTGCATGATCGCCTGATGCCCAATGAATTTTAAAAGGTGCCGGTTTGCAAGTGGGGGGTGGGGGTATGAGGGTGGGAGGATTGAAATAAACACGTTATCCTTGCAATTTTTTTTGTTCTTGACGCTCACTCCTGACAATATTTTTTCACACTCGAATGAGCACCCACTCCATCTCTCTCTCTCTCTCTCTCTCTCTTCCTGCCTCTCTGTCCTCTCTCTCTCTCTCTCTCTCTCTCTCTCTCTCTCCCTCTCTCCTCTTCAACGCCTGCCCCCCCCTCCCTTCCATCCCACCTCTTACACGTCTCAGGTCATGTCACTGCAGCTCCGGTGGAAATAATAAGATATAAACCACGAGGTTGTTATTTGCATAGAAATAGCATGGAGCCCCAGGCAGCAAGAGAGAAGGACACAGGGATCATTTGTCTAAAATTTTAATGAAAACTTTTGCTGAGGCAGAGATTTTTTTTTGAAAACTTTCTTCCTCCTTGCTTTTCTCCAACCTTTCTAACCCCCTCCAACCCATCACTGATTGAACTTAACATGGTTGGATATGAAGAAGGGTTGACAACTCCACATAGCATACTCACATAATGCAGCAACATGTAAATTGTTTGTTCCTGTAATAGATATAAAACTGAGGAGAGACGCATTCCCAGTTAATACATTGCATGTGTGCATCAAGCTTTTATAGCTGTTTATCATCTCGGCACACACATGATTTTAGTGATCTGTTTTTAATTAGTTTATACCTTCCTATGTTTAGCTTTCAGAGACAATTTTAAGATGATTTCTTGTTTTTTGGGAGGTGGGTAGGTGGGAAGGGTTGTTTTTTGTTGTTTTTTAGATAATAGTAACAGGAATATAAGATAAAATGTTGCAGCTGCTGCTTTTCATGTTCTGTGGTTTTATAGTCCATGTTTTATTCTTCAGCAGCATTCTTTGCCACTTGTCCTTTTGTTCCAAAATTGGAAAATGCTTTCCACTTGTGATCTGAGTATTTCTATTCTTCTTTTGTACCTATCTTATTTTGTTGCCTGCAGTTATTTTGTAAGATTCAAAATATTACTAAGTTGAGGAAAGAGACAGTTTCTGGACTTTCTTGACTGTTGTGGTATGGATTTGACATTTGAACTAAAAGCAATGGATTTTTTATTGGAGGCAGTCCAATTTGAATCTCAAAATCAAGAACATCTGTCTGGGTTTTTGCTGTCTTTGGGAAAGACAGCAAAATTTGAATCTCAAAATCAAGAACATCTGTCTGGGTTTTTGCTGTCTTTGGGAAAGGCAGTTGTTTTAGGACCATTTTATGGATGGAAAGACTGAAGCAGAATTAGCTGAAACCGAGTCTAAATTAGAGTCAGAACATGAATATATTTCCCTAAGTTTTATTACAGAAGGAGTTCTACTTAGTACCCACAAGACCTACAAAAAT